CATGAGGATACTTTTGGTCTAGATCTCCGGGCTCAGCTACAGAGTCTGGCCAGCATGCAGAGTCAGCTAAAAGAGCTACAGAGTCAGCATGCCCACTGTACCCAGGACCTGACCACGAAGGATGAGTTGCTCTGCCAGCTTACCCAGAGCAGCGAGGAGCAGGCTACTCAGTGAGTTCCTATCAGGTGATTGTGGCAGGAGGTGCCCCAGGATATAGGACCAGTGGGATCTAATATACGGTATCTGGCAGATGGCAAAAGGAAGAGATGGCACTAAAACACATGCAGGCAAAGCTGGAGCAACAACACGTGGTCCTGACCAAGGAGGTTCAGGACCTGAAGGAGACCCTGGAGGTAAGGAATATGGGGCAGGGGAGCTGGCAGGAGACTTTTACCTGATGGAATTGAAGAGAAGTTTGAGACTGTGGACTAGAAAAAGCCTCTGTTCCCAGGGCTCTTAAATTTCCCACTTAGACTCATTTTTTTTTCTCCCCTCCCTTTCTTGTTCCTTCCCTTTCTTCCTTCTCCTGCTCCCTAGTTTGCAGACCAAGAGAATCAGGTTGCTCACCTGGAGCTGGGCCAGGTTGAGTGTCAGTTGAAAACCACACTGGAAGTGCTCCGGGAACGCAGCCTGCAGTGTGAGGACCTCAAGGACACAGTAGAGAATCTCAGGTGAGATCTCTACCTTTCTGTGCTTCCCCTGTAAGTGCTTATCCTTCCCAGGAACCTCCTAGAAGCTAAAGTGTCCAAGAAGGAAATCGTGACAGGGCCCAAGAGCCTTTTATTTCCTCCTTTGAATGCATCTCTGGGTGAGCATTTGAAAGAGGTGTTCAGAGAAGGTCATCTGGCCTTTGGCCGATTTCTCTGTTCCTTCCTTATTTTAGGATTAAGCTGGCTAGCACCGTAGCAGAAAACCAGGAGAAAGACCTGGAGAAGACACGCCAGTATTCCCAAGAGCTAAGGGGGCTGACTGAGCACCTACAGAGCCTGACCCTCTTCCTACAGACAAACTTAAAGGAGAAGGTAGGATTTGGGGGTTCCTTCTCTTCCCTCCCTTCCAATTGTATCTTTGAACAAAGGTGGTTTTATTTCTTCCTTCCCAATCTGTGTACCGCTTATTTCCTTTGCTTGCCCTACTGCGTTAGTTAGAACTTTCACTACAATGTTGAAAGGAGTGGTGAGAGGGGACACCCTTACCTTGTACCTGATCTTGGATGGAAAGCTTCGAGTTTCTCATCATTGAGTGTGATATTAGCTGTAAGTTTTTTGTAGATAGATATTCTGTCAGGTTGAGGAAGTTCCCTTCTATGCCTAGTTCGCGGAGTTTTTTCTTTTTTTTCTTTTTTTAGATTTTTATTGGGGAATTGGGGGATGGGAACAGTGCTGGGGAATTGGGGGGAAGGGGAACAGACAAGTTGCTGTCGTTTTGTTCCTCAGTCTAGTTGTGGAGGACATCGCCTCACTGGCCCAAGTTGGCACCATTATTGCACTTTTCCCAGGCGAGGCAGATCAGTCGCCAGCTTCTGGAAGGCCGCTCACGGCGGCTGCTGGCTGCTCACGCTGGCTGCTGGCTACACACGGTAACCCATGGCAACCCACTGCAGCAGGGGTTGCAGCCTATGCTGTCGCCAGTGACTCCGGCAACTCACGGCAGCNTGCCTTGCAGCAGTAATGAGGGCTCCCCACTTTTCTCTCAGAACTTTGAAGTCTTTCTATAGCTTTGCTGCCTTTGAGATCATACGTATCTACTCTGCATAGCACCATTAAGATTTTTTTTCTGCCCCAAGATAATGAACAGTTAGAGAATAAGAAAATAAAAACGACTAGTAAATATATGAGGAGATTACCATTACTGGTAATCAGAGAAATGCAAATTGAAACACTGAGATGCTATTTTCTTCTGATAAAATAGCAAAGAATAAAATAGATAATGCTGGTAAGCCTTTTCCTATTGCCAGTAGGGTATAAGTTCAACATTTTTTGAAGGCAATTTAATTTAAGGAAGACCCTTAAAGCAGTTCAAACTTTTTGACTCAGTGACTCCACTTCTAGGGATATATCTGGGGGGAGAGGGGGGAAATTCTGTATAAAGATGGTAACATTTAAAAAAAAATAATGAAAAAAATATAGTAAAATAATGGTATATCCGTAAGCTAGGATATTCTGCAGTCATTTAAAAGTATGTTTATGAAGAGTTTTTTAATAACATGGGAAAATAAGTTTAACATAAGTTCAAGATTTTTAAAGAAAGGAAATCAGAGTTCAGATAACCTCTGAAAAGCTTTGAGGTGAGGTAAAATATCAGCAGAAGTTAAAAATAGGTGGTACTCCACTCTGACAGATCCCTCTAAAGCAGATATCCCAGACTTAGGCTATTCCAGGGAGAAGAGTGAATATAAATTCAAGGCTAAATAACATTAGTATAATAAAATTAAGTAATAAAAGCAAGACCCCAAATTATGTATATATTTTAGTCTCAATTGTGGTTTTTCTTAAGCATTACTGTCTTTCATCATATCTAAGACACTATCAATAATAAGCTGCGTCCCAATTTCAGTGGTGTTAAAATGTAAAAAGATAAATCATTTTAGAATTCACTGACTGTGGTAATTTCTAAATCAGTAGTCTACAACTTTTTCACCCCCCCTGACATCTGAGGGAAATAATATACTCATCAGTTACAGCAAATCCCTATAGCAAGGTAATCTGGTGTGGAGGTATATCAAAATCTCTTGGGATAGATGCTATACCGTTGGTTAAGAATCACTGCTCTAGGTGGTAAAATTACTAATGATTTCTTTTTCCATTTTATTCATTCTGTATTTCCAAAATTTTACAATAAACACATATTATTCTTATAATTAGAAAAAAAAGTTATTTTAAAAGGAAAATTTTACCTACCTCTGAGTTTTCTTCTGACTTGGAGCTTTCTTTGCTGCTGTTTAAATAGGAAAGCATCCTGGATCTCAGTGGGTGGGAGGGTGGATGAGGTGTTGAAGGTCCATGCTGCCTATGCAAAAGGAACAACTCTGTTTCTCCGGCTAGATAAGTAAGAAACCTCAGCATCTTCAGGAGAGCCAAGAGATTGGACAGGCTCTGCAGCAAGCCAGGAATGTCATGGTAAGTGTTGACTGACCTTATACCACCACTCAGTCTCCTGTGCAGATCAAGAATGGAGAATCGCGGGTGATTAGCACATGGCGGTACTTAGCCGTGGTAGTGAAGGGAAGTCTCCAAATCTTTGTTAAGAACATCTCCTCCTTATTGGAGCTTAAAATTGGGGTCAGTGGCTTTTTCCCCCAGTGTTCCTGCTTAGTGACTTCATTTGATCTAGCCTAACCATCTTTCCCTCTACAGCAATCATGGGTGCTGGTCTCTAAAGAGCTGGTATCCTTGCTTCACCTATCTCTGTTGCACTTAGAAGAAGATAAAACGACTGTGAGTCAAGAGGTAAGCAGCATGAGGATGAAGGCAGAGGCCTCTGGTGGGACTGAAAGCCAAAACAAAAGGAACCAGACACAGCATCTGATTCTTATCTTGTAGTCTCGGCATGCAGAAACCTTGGTCTCCTGCTGTTTTGATGTGTTGAAGAAATTGAAAGCAAGGCTCCAGAGCCTCAAAGCAGAAAGGGAAGAGGCAAAGCACAGAGAGGAAATGGCCCTCAGAGGCAAGGATGCGGTAAGGTGTCAGGCTTTTGTTCCTGGATTTGGGAGGTCTCTTCCTCAGGGTTCCTTCAGGAACACAAATTCTCTTGAGACACAGTTCTTAGGGTGGCCTAAGAACTGCCTGCCCTGGGGAATAATGAACTAAGATACTTGTGTGGTGGATAGTTATGACTTTTTGTGCTGTTTCCCTCCTCTGCCCACCGTGTCCTCACAACCCCTTTCCTAAACAGGCAGAGACAGTGCTAGAAGCTTTCTGTGCACACGCCGTCCAGCGCATCAGCCAGCTGGAACAGAACCTGGCATCCATGGGGAGATTCAGAGGACTCTTAAAGGAGACCCAGACACAACTGGTAATTTGAGGTCATTTTCTTTCCCGAGATCCATGCTGATACACTGGGAGGATGGTTACATACCCCCACTTTGCTATATCCAGAGGGAAGGGGGCCCCCCTCCATAGGTACTCCTTCTTGTGTAGGTAGGTCTTCATACTGAGCAAGAAGAGTTGGCTCAGCAGACAGCGACTCTTACTTCAATCTTGCAACAGGACTGGATATCCATGCAACTGGATGTGAGTATTCGGGGCTATCATACCACTCATTTACTCACAGCCAGCCCTATTAGGAGCCTTGCCTCAAGAAGGCTCTACTAACCTTGCTTCCCCTGGTAGTATATAACATGGACAGCTTTGCTGAGCCGGTCTCGACAACTCACAGAGAAACTCACAGCCAAGAGCCGGCAGGCCCTGCAGGAACGTGATGCCGCCGTTGAGGAAAAGCAGCAGGTACAAACCAGGGGTGGGGACTGCTTAGGCCTGGTTTTCTCCTCCTCCTCCTCCCCAGAAGGCTTTTCTAATGAGTGGTGTCGTTAGCCTCTTAACCTGGACCTGTCTTCTTTCTACCCTGTGGGTTTGGAGACAAGCCAGGTCCCTTCACTGTAAGACAGCCTTGGGCCCAGTGATTCCCTTTGCCTTTCAGCACCTTCTTCAGCAGCTTTTCTCCTGTTTCTACTTTTTCCTGAGGAGCAGCCTTATTTGCTAATGTCGCTGC